ACTGCTGAACTCCCAGATCAAGTCTTCATACCCCTCTCCTGCAAGCCTCAGTTTAGAGTCCTCAGTTTGGAGACAGCAGCACCCTTTGCAGAGAAAAGTTAGATTGTACATCTCTTACCACCACATCTTGTTTAAATGGCAGCCATGGGCAGGTCCATGGGGTTGCAGAGTAGGTAGGGGATGTTAATGTTCATGAACTCAGCTCCTTGGCAAACTCCGGACAAGGTCAACTCCCTCCTCCAGGGCGACTCTAAAGACTATGTGCCCATGAACCTCCCTAAAACGTGCCTTAAGTAGCTAACTGTCGTCTAGGTTAGCCCCAAACTCTTAGACTCAAGCAATCCTCCTGCCTCAGCCTTGTGAAACTGCAGCCACATGCCATCTCATTCTGTCCACAGGATGAGCCTGGGGAAGGATGGGGATGCAGGACTCGTAAGGAGTTGAAGAGCAGGTTCTAGGCTAACAATAATGCTCGCTGACCAGTGTGCAATCCTAAAAACTGTGATGTACTTGAAAGTCTTGCAGGTGCCCGAGGGTTCTGATCCCAGGTTTCAGTTGTCACTATGGTGAAGGTACAGTTCTGCTTACTGGAGATTTCTGGTTGATTGAACATGGGCAAGCTGAATTCCACCATGGCAGGGATGGTTATTAGGCACCTCCCAAGGAGAACACTACCACTATGGAAGGTCAAAGGGTCATTTATTTTAGTGCAGTTTCTTAGCCTGGTTTCTTAGAAGTGAACTGTCAACATAATGAGTTTTAAAATCCATGCGATGCTCGTTCACCCCCACCATCCTGGTTCCAGGAGAATCACAACAGGAATGAACACACTGGAGCAACTGGCAAACAGGACCAAGCTTTCCGGCCCATGTACGGATCAAGACTCTAACCCTGGCCACAGGGAATGTCCACTCAGGTCAGAGGAACTACCTGGGCTGTGCACACTTTCTTCATGGGGTAAGAGTAGAGTGTGTCAAACTCTCTTCCATGACAGGTGAGCTGGGCGGAAGGCAGGCCCAGCCAGTCGGTCCCTCGGGCCAGGGCAGGAAGCAAAGTCTCTCTTACCCTGGTGCGTGGGGCCGCAGGGCTAACACCAAACAATTCATCCGAAGGAAGTGTGTCCAGTAGAGTAGAAGGCTGGTCCATGCAGGTTCCTAAGCAACAGGTGCCCCGGCAAGAGCTGACGGCAAGATGCAGAAGCAATAGGTGTCTTACAGGCAGACAGCGTGAGAGCGAGGCCCAGAGAGACAGAGTAAAAGATTGGAGAGTGGGGGCTGGAAAGATGGCTCAGTGGTTAAGAGCATTGCCTGCTCTTCCAAAGGTCCTGAGTTCAATTCCCAGAAACCACATGGTGGCTCACAACCATCTTTAATGGGGTCTGATGCCCTCTTCTGGCCTGCAGGCATACACACAGACAGAATATTGTCTACATAATAAATAAATAAATATTTAAAGAAAAAAGATTGGAGAGCCAGTGTGTGTTGGGGTCAGACACATCTCGGCTCAGCTATGAGCCCATCACCAGTCAGCTGTGGACCACAGGCAAGACTTTCCGCCATTATCTGAAAACTGGGCTGTTTCTCTCATAGTGTCTGTAGGCCTGAGGATGTCATGTACATCTTACAAGGCTTAGGGAACAGCCAGCAGTGTTGCTAGGCAAACACTGTGTTTCATTATTGACGCCTGGAGACTTTGCTAAAACGCAGAGACAACTGAAAATGTAGAGAAGAAATACATACGAGCCTTGAACAAGAGAGGAAGGTATATGGACTCCAGGGGTCGAATGGTGAGGGTTCTCAGAACCCCAGGGTGTTCGATGGGGCATGGAATAAGATGGAAGAGAGGCAGTGCCAATTGAGGGACGTGGGCCAGGTGTGAGGTCACCCTAGCCACCTGCTGGCAGCCTCTGCTCCTAACAGCTTTTATCTGAAAGCAGAACAGCTCAACTCAGGAGCAGGCTGCCCTCGTCCACCCCGCTGGCTTCTGTGACACTTCTAAAGGGATGGACAGAGGCATCTCCGGGAGTCACAGCAAAGTCTCATGCTCAGCACATTTCCAAAGGTCTCCTTTGCACTCTCCTAGAGGCTGATTTTTTTTTTCTGCTGCCATCTGTGGAGTTGGGCAATGCAGGCAGGCTCTAAGACTGAGAGACAGCCTCTGGTTGTCCATAGCAACCCAGCCTCAGGAGTGTGCTGGGCGCCAAAGGTATGGGAGCCAAGAACATGCCATTCGCTCTTCCTGCTGGAGGGTGTCAGGATGATTGCCTGTCCCCAGCTCAGGAACACTCTCCTGTCACCCGCTGCACTATCTCCAGGAGATCTAGTCCTTTCGGGGGAAGGACTTTCGCTGGGAAGTGCATTCAGAGCCGTCGCTGGGAAGTGCCAGGGAGAGTGCGAATCCCTCTCCATCGCTCCTTTTCTCCAAGTTTGTATATCAGAAGCCTGTCTGAGCTGAAACTCTGACAGCCCAAGCCGAACTGCCTCGGAGGAACCCCGAGTAGCCCAAGGATCTCCTCCTCTGCTTCCTCAGCCATTCGCAAATTCTCTTGCCATCTCAGAGAGACTTCCCAGAGGGCAGAATTCAGGAGTCTGCCCACAGAGGACTAAAAGAGTGTAGGGGCCATGCCAGAGAGCAGTTTGGAGCTGCTCGCCCTCGGTTTAAATCTCAGCCCAACCATCCACTGATTGTAGTTCACAAAAGGGCAGACATCTTCTGGCCCTTCTGCAAGTCCCCTGCTCCTTGTGTGTGTGCTATCTTAGGGATTTATGTCTATCAAACAAAGTAGCAAGTGCCACGAGAGGCAGCAAGCCAAGGCCTCTGTCTGAAGTATACCCCCTCACTTCCATGTGGTAGAGCCCCCCACTGGAGAAGCCAGCTACCTTGCACCGAGGCCCATGAGGCAAGAAACCAAGTCGGCCAGCGGCTGTGTGAGTGAGGTCTTCCCCAGACGAGCCTTTGGACGGCTGTCACCATGACCTCCGGTTTGGCTCTACGAGAGACCAGAACCTGCACATTCCAACTAAGCCCCCCTGGAATACCTGCCCACAGAAGCTGAAAGACAGTCGATATTTGTTGTGTTGAGGCAGCAAGGAATTAGGGAACAGATCCATGGGGAGTCAGCAATGTATCCGAAGAGTCAACTTTCCCTATCTTCAAAATGGATGGATTACAACTGTGAAAACTCTCTGTGCAGAAACCGGAGCACCTAGCCCAGCACTCGGCACCTTTGCTCGGGTAACTGAGATCCCCTGGAGGGCTGTCATCCCTCACGCTGCCAGGGAGAGTCACTCAACCCTACAGAATCTCAGTGCTCTCCACCAGCATCCA